TCCAAGCACTTCTTCATTTCTGCATGTTTCATTCAGGTCCAGCACAATGTCCGTAGTGACAACACGTCTTGTTACGACAAACAAGTCTCGCTAGACCAATGTGCCTTTATGAATACTGGTAGACAGTGCAATTTATGACGGTCTAAATAATTCGGTGCGTATTGACAACCGTTTAGCCTGACAATCGAGACAAAGCGCTCAGCAGTCTGCACAGATGGTGGGTAACCCTCGAGTTATAGCACCGACTTTTATGGCCTCGGATTGGTATGATCGTCTACTTGATCGTTGCGACGTAGTTGATAGTGATTTTCGATGCACAACACAACACTCAAAATCGCTGTACTTCCGCACAGGCTTTGTTTAAGATTCGTGGCTCAATATGACATAGACACGGCAATGCAGTGTCGTCCGTCCTGCGCAGACCCTACAAGTAGATACTAAACAGTACTCTACGAATAACTTCACCGCGTAGTGTCCATGGTGCTCTAGTCTTTGTGCTCGTGCGTCTCACAGAAGTTGTGGACACAGACAGTCTGCTGTGTAGGGCTAGCGCTGTGAGCTTTTTACTATAAAGGCCACCTTAACGAAGCACTGTCATATCTCGAACGTAGCGCTGTAACAAAGAATGTGTTTATCTCATTGACCTGCTGTGCAATTCATGAACGGGGCCGAAAAGCCCACGTAGATAATTTGGTGCGTATTGACAACCGTGTTTAGCCTGACAATCGAGACAAAGCGCTCAGCAGTCTGCACAGATGGTGGGTAACCCTCGAGTTATAGCACCGACTTTTATGGCCTCGGATTGGTATGATCGTCTACTTGATCGTTGCGACGTAGTTGATAGTGATGGTGATTCGATGCACAACACAACACTCAAAATCGCTGTACTTCCGCACAGGCTTTGTTTAAGATTCGTGGCTCAATATGACATAGACACGGCAATGCAGTGTCGTCCGTCCTGCGCAGACCCTACAAGTAGATACTAAACAGTACTCTACGAATAACTTCACCGCGTAGTGTCCATGGTGCTCTAGTCTTTGTGCTCGTGCGTCTCACAGAAGTTATGGACACAGACAGTCTGCTGTGTAGGGCTAGCGCTGTGAGCTTTTTACTATAAAGGCCACCTTAACGAAGCACTGTCATATCTCGAACGTAGCGCTGTAACAAAGAATGTGTTTATCTCATTGACCTGCTGTGCAATTCATGAACGGGGCCGAAAAGCCCACGTAGATAATTTGGTGCGTATTGACAACCGTGTTTAGCCTGACAATCGAGACAAAGCGCTCAGCAGTCTGCACAGATGGTGGGTAACCCTCGAGTTATAGCACCGACTTTTATGGCCTCGGATTGGTATGATCGTCTACTTGATCGTTGCGACGTAGTTGATAGTGATGGTGATTCGATGCACAACACAACACTCAAAATCGCTGTACTTCCGCACAGGCTTTGTTTAAGATTCGTGGCTCAATATGACATAGACACGGCAATGCAGTGTCGTCCGTCCTGCGCAGACCCTACAAGAGATACTAAACAGTACTCTACGAAACTTCACCGCGTAGTGCCATGGTCCTAGTCTTGCCGTCTCTCACAGAAGTTGTGGACACAGACAGCTCTGAGGCTAGCGCTGTAGCTTTTTTACTATAAAGGCCACCTTAACGAAGCACTGTCATATCTCGAACGTAGCGCTGTAACAAAGAATGTGTTTATCTCATTGACCTGCTGTGCAATTCATGAACGGGGCCGAAAAGCCCACGTAGATAATTTGGTGCGTATTGACAACCGGTTAGCCTGACAATCGAGACAAAGCGCTCAGCAGTCTGCACAATGGTGGGTAACCCTCGAGTTATAGCACCGACTTTTATGGCCTCGGATTGGTATGATCGTCTACTTGATCGTTGCACGTAGTTGATAGTGATGGTGATTCGATGCACAACACAACACTCAAAATCGCTGTACTTCCGCACAGGCTTTGTTTAAGATTCGTGGTTCAATATGACATAGACACGGCAATGCAGTGTCGTCCGTCCTGCGCAGACCCTACAAGTAGATACTAAACAGTACTCTACGAATAACTTCACCGCGTAGTGTCCATGGTGCTCTAGTCTTTGTGCTCGTGCGTCTCACAGAAGTTATGGACACAGACAGTCTGCTGTGTAGGGCTAGCGCTGTGAGCTTTTACTATAAAGGCCACCTTAACGAAGCACTGTCATATCTCGAACATAGCGCTTAACAAAGAATGTGTTTATCTCATTGACCTGCTGTCAATTCATAACGGGCCGAAAAGCCCACGTAGATAATTCGGTGCGTATTGACAACCGTGTTAGCCTGACAATCGAGACAAAGCGCTCAGCAGTCTGCACATATGGTGGGTAACCCTCGAGTTATAGCACCGACTTTTATGGCCTCGGATTGGTATGATCGTCTACTTGATCGTTGCGACGTAGTTGATAGTGATGGTGATTCGATGCACAACACAACACTCAAAATCGCTGTACTTCCGCACAGGCTTTGTTTAAGATTCTGTGGCTCAATATGACATAGACACGGCAATGCAGTGTCGTCCGTCCTGCGCAGACCTCACAAGTAGATACTAAACAGTACTCTACAACTTCACTGCGCTAGTACAACAGGTTGTCTGCATTCATAACTATAATTAGTCGCACGAGCATAGAGATCAGAGCACCATGGACACTACGGAATTAACTTTAAGGCTAGCAGAACGTGACATCGAGCTTGTGTTGTTTCAAACGAATCTCTATGTAGACTGAGGCCTTTCGTTTCCTCGCCAAAAACGTGACATGAATCTTCTGATGTGACAGTTTGTTACTAACGTGGATACGAATGTATGCACATGTTTTGTTGGCTTTGCATCGTTGCGTTCGTCAGACGATTCATTGCGTTTGTACAACACCATGCCACTGGACCTTTCGTTCTTAACGATCGGTGTGTCTTTTACGCAAATCAATTGGACTGGACGGTAAGAATACAAAAGCCAGTCAAGCAATCGCGTTTGGGTCGGCGGCATTGTTGTCTCCTCATTCCAATATTCGCTTCCAAACACTCGAACCTCGATTCAATTCATCCCCTTTCCAGCATGTCCACGACGCGTAATCAACATAAGAGGCTGTACTGGTACACAGTACTAGCAGCGATCACGCTACTGACATATTGGAGCACTCTACCGAAGACTGCAGACTCCGACACGGTCATCGCTGGTTCTTTGCAGTATGCGCTTGGTATTCATCAGAGCAACACAAGGGTCAAGAGGCACCTGCGGTCAAGCTCTGACACGACGGCAATTGACGTCGATGACAATGAAGACAGAGCGCTTCGCATCAACTTCGAACTTCCAACTTTGAAGTTCCCGGATGTGGCTAAGAAAGCAAGCCAGAAGGCTTTTGACGCTTTTGACGCTTTTGTGATTACTAAACTTCCGAAGAGCCAAAAAGCAAATGCCATACGTTTTAAGAGGCTAAATCTTGACAAGGTATCAAGCTACGAGGATGCGGAAAAACTCGCTAAGTCCGGCAACTTCGAAAAGTGGATCAACGGTGAGATAAAAGTGTACAAGAACACAGAGAAGGCTGAGGAGGCCATGGCTTCAACGCTTGTGCGTTTGCCCGGCAAAGACAAAGCTATCATGATTTTAGCAGCTGGAAGTAAAGACTCAAGGACAAAAGAGATCGCCAAGAATTTGGAGAACCGTCTGCTGAGTCAATGGATGAAACGTTGGTCGTCATGACGGTCTTTATAAGCTACTAACTTTTGGCAAGACTGGTCACGACTTTTGGGAAAGTTCGCAATGGGAATGGTTTGTCGCTGAAGCGAAAAGGAAAAAGGAGAATGAATTTGACCTGCTGGTTAAGATTCTTAATGCCGCAGTACAGTGACGAGAAAGTGTCCCAGATTTTAGCGTCTGGAAAGACGATTCCAAGCGTCGAGCAAGATGCCAAATGGTTGGAAGAGAGTCTGCTGAGAGAGTGGATGAAAGATGGTCGTTATGACGGTCTTTATCAGCTACTAACTTTTGGCAAGACTGGTCAACGACTTTTGGACAAGTTCGCAATGGGAACTGTTTTTCGATGAAGCGAGGAAAAGCAAGAGTAGGATTTGAGCTGCTGGTTGAGATTCTTAAGCCGCATTCCAGTGACGAGAAAGTGTCCGAGATATTAGCGTCTGGAAAGACGATTCCAAGCGTCAAGCAAGATGTCAAAGGGTTGGAAGAGAGTCTGCTGAGAGAGTGGATGAAAGATGGTCGTGATGACGGTCTTTATCAGCTACTAACTTTTGGCAAGACTGGTTAACGACTTTTGGACAAGTTCGCAATGGGAACCGTTTGTCGCTGAAGCGAAAAGGCAAAAGGAGAATGGGATTTGAGCTGCTGGTTGAGATTCTTAAGCCGCATTCCAGTGACGAGAAAGTGTCCGAGATATTAGCGTCTGGAAAGACGATTCCAAGCGTCGAGCAAGATGCCAAATGAGTTGGAAAAGAGTCTGCGGAGAGAGTGGATGAAAGATGGTCGTTATGACGGTCTTTATCAGCTACTAACTTTTGGCAAGACTCGTCACGACTTTTTAACAAGTTCGCAATGGGAATTGTTTGTCGAAGAAGCGGAAAGGCAACAGAAGAATAGACTTAAGCTGCTAGTTGAGATGTTCAAGCCGCATACCGGCATCAATAAAGTCACTCGACGTCGAACGAAGCTGCCGAAAGTGGAAGAAGAGAAGCTGTCGAATGTGGAAGAAGAGACTCTGTCAAAGTGGATGCAAAAACCTGGTCGTAGAGCAGGGCTATCTCGGCTTTTATTTTTTGACACGGCTAACAGCGAGATACTTAATGTTTCGCAAATCGATTTCGTTTTTGAAAAATTAGGAGTACCGACGAAAGATCGAGACGAGCTTTTGTTTACGGCGCTTCAATCGCACCTAGGCGATGACGGGCTAGCAAGACTGGTTGCTGTGTCCAAACGCGACGATTCTTTAAGGGAACTTGCGACCAAAATGGAGGAGCATTTGCTGAAGTCGTGGTTAAAAGCGTGGGAACAGACTGGTTTGAGCACAAATCCATATACATTTGGCTTTTATTTTGCGCTTTTAGGCTTTAACAACAAAAGTCCAGATGAACTTCTACAAAGTCCGGAATTGAGCACGCTTGTGGCTTTTGGAAAGCTGTTAAATGAAGATGAGCAAAACAAATGGAAAGACGTTTTGCTAGACAAATTGATGAGTAAAGAGCCTGATCTGCCGACACTAAAGAAGATTTTTGCAAAGCACAGTAATGGCATTAACGCGGAAGCTGTGCGAGTATTAAAACTTCGACTGCTGGAGAAGATTAAAGAGGAGAAGCTGGATTAGGTGTAGACGAAGAGGATACGAGACTGGTTTGAAAAAGCGGAAGCTACGAAACGTGCCGAAGATGGTTCTTGAGCTCAAAGATGAAGCCAGAATTAGATTTCTACGTCTACTATGGTACACATGGATCTTATTATATACTGCTGCGTAAACTGGTAGATGAAGAAACATTGCAGCGCTCGAATTGCTCAGCGCTGAAGGCGGAACCAGTTTGTGACGAAGTGGCGGCCATCAAGAGGCTGATAGGTGGCAGGTGCAGAGGCGGTTTTGGAACAAACATCAATACGATGGCGTGGTGTCTGATATCGAAAGCATGTGCAGCGGCGAAAATGTCGTAATAGACAGCGGAGTTAGCGAGGTATGGCAGCGTCTGCGATACAGTGACAAGCGCTTTGCGATTGCATTCACGGTCTCGATTTTTCATGGCTACATCGTCCAGTAGCATCATCCAGGACTCGTCGTTCAGCAGCAGATGGTCGGTCCATCGTCTGTGGTATATACACACACTGAATGGTCAATAACAACTTGATGATGACGGACCTGAAACCAGCTAAGCAGAGCACTGATCACTTCCTGCTACGTATGTTATCCAAACCTGCAAGAATCGATATCAAAAGGTAAAAAGCAGCTATCAAATGAATCGCCTTTAGCTCAACCCTCTGCAACGTTTTTAAACCTTATAAATAGATAAATAAAACCTCAATCCATTCTTACTTTGCCAGTATTTTATCCCCCCTCCCTCCCCCCATTAAGAATATAAACGATGTTGCTGAACAATTTAATGTTTTGGATGATGGTGGTCGAGGCAGTCATTTGTCTAATGTTAACTCTTCCATTTGGTCAGTGGTTATCTTACACTATGATGTCGTTCTTAATGAAATACCTAAATGATTAAAACTCTCCAGTCAATACTATGGCTACAATTGTGCTTGCCTTATTTGCGATTCTTTCTTCTTTGTATGTAAAATATCTTACTAGCTTGGTTTCTTACTGATGATGATGTAGTTGTTTTTGTAGCTGTACGACTAATAATCCAAGAGATATGATCAAGTTTTTCTAATTGTTGTTGTATTTGTTTTGTATTTTCTTATGTGTAGCAAACGTGTCAACAGTTTACAAGCACCACCTATAGGATGAAGTACTAGACGACGGAATGCGTATCCGTCTTCTCACTGAACAGCCGGATATGTAGAATCTGTGAAGTTTTGTTGGCAAGATTGTAATTATACTTGTTTAGGTGCGCGAGATGACTGAGTGATCTCAGTGCTGCGTAAAGTTGTTCTCAGTGCTGCGTACTCATCTGGTCAAGAAGTGCCAAGAAAAGCAATCGCGCTAAACTGTTATCACAAACACAGAGAAGACCCATAACTTGTCACCTACGGCCGCACAGACCCGTCCAAACCGCGAGATGCAGCTGATGCGATACGAAAACACAATACCATATGTGGCAATTGGTGTTGCAGTTTGAATACCGATTAGTAGAAGTGATGGAGAACACCAGATGACAAATATTGTCAAAAGCAAGACAAAACACACGAAAGTCAAGAGAATCAATGAAAGATGAAGAAGAGTAAAAGTTGACACTGTTCAACAAACGCAACAGCTTGACGGTGACTGTAGAACAGCAGACGCAAAATATGTTGACAACAAAAAGCAGCATTTTTGCTGCCGAACGCTGAGCGAAAAATAATGTAGTGACGGACGTATCCAATGTTGCAGCCGGAGAAGAGTAGCGGATGCGGTGCTAGAGCAGCATACGAGGAAGGAGAAGCACGAGCTTTTGGTGACCATCTTGCGCTTATGGTATTGTCTGTCTCCTCATAGAGTTTGATTACGAAGGGAGTGGTACGGCCAACGATTATGGACTTGCCATCTCTGATGCTTCTGTTGGGCTTGTAGTTGTTACTACGATCCTCGTGGTCAAATCTCGCATTAGTGTTTATTCTGGACAGTTCTTGGTGAGTAGTTGGATCTGCATGCATGTTGCATGTGTTGATGGTGCTGGAGATGGATAGCAAAGGCAAGTACTCTCCAGCGTCATTATTGGCCCAGTTTGCAGCTACAGCATTTGCGGAGTAGCAACAGAGTCTGTACTGTCTTCTCGTAAACCAGCGTACCGACTGCCATCTGAGGCCGCATCAGGTCCGCTCTCTGACTACAGCTTGGGAGTCCCAACTAGAACCATCATCAGATATATCATCACTGATGCGCAGATAACTTTGAACAGTGTACCAAAATGCCCTGGATGCTTGGTATCACATCTTCCAAATGCTAGTTTCTATTAGTCCTCCACCGTCAACTGTACTACGAAACTAAGATAGCCATCAGAACTACAATCAGCAAGTGACTCACTATTAACTTTGCAACGAAATGTCAATTGGATTGCGAGCCTCGCAACAAGACTCCATAGGGAAGCATAGGTACTGTTTGTAGCCTTTTCCCACCCATAGCTAGTTGGACTGGTAGAGTAAACCTGCTGGACGCATCAGCGTCACTACCTCCATGCGATCAAGCCCTAAAGGGGTGCTTCATTTTTGACCCACGCTTCAGCTACAGCCTCATATTTTGCATCCGTAAGAGCTGACGAGTGTTAGTACTGATGAGTCAAAGATAGTTACAGCACATGAAGCAAGTTGTTTGACGTCAAACATTAAACTACTTGTAATCAATGCTAAACTCGTGGGTGTCAATTGATTTGTCGTACCGCAGTGTCCGCACCAATGCCGTATGTGTACTATGTAGATCGTACGTTGATCACCAACCCCAAAGAGTAAGGACAAAGCTTACACTACCAGACCCAGTAAGTCTACCTTGGATCGCTATATCCATACGCGGCTGAAGAAGACAGCAAAGTTACAAGGAAAATGACACATCTGCACATCAGTCACTGTAGCAATGCATAATACCTCTGACCTCAACGCTGCTATGCCGGCAAAATATACAAAGTAAGCAGCAGCTATGTAGTCATCTCTAGACCTTGTAACTTTGCAACGCCTTGGTGCAGACTGCGCTATTCTGTCGAGAGTCATAGGCCAAAAAACAGTTTCTATTCAGAGTCGCCGACATTACACTGTAATTATGATTGCAACAATTACTATCACTATCAAAAACTATAGATTTTGTATCCTGCTCGCTCTATGTCTAGCATTTCTTGCTAAAACCTCAATCCTTGCAAGAAAGAAGTGTATCTCTGATACTGGTCTCTTGAAGACGTGGCTGTTTTCAACCAAATGGCACAAGCTTGTTAAGCTAGCTTTAGGAGTTGTTTTGAACAGTGTGAAAACGTGTTTGAGAGACGTTGGGTTTTATGCTGACTCCCAAATGATCTTGGCCTCGTTGCTGCCCATGGTAGCAGGCAGGATAACAGGACAGGACACTGCGCAATACCGTACAATGGCTTAATGCTGTTGAGCATGAGAAACGAAGGCAATACTCCTCAAGGCTAAGAACCCTAAGATGTAAAGCTCTCTAGAGCGTGTCTTTGTCTAAACTTAGTGCATTAGTAGCTTTGCTGCAGTGACTGACACTTTTCTGCGGCTTTTTTTAGCTGGGCTGTAGGTATCAAGCCTACTAGAGTCACCTGCATTGTCAGTAACTGTGGATCTGTCTCTTCGTAGTGCTGTATGTGTCTGTGAAAACAGTTGAAGCTTCGGTAGTAAGTTGCAAATAACTACTTACGTGTTCAGACTATGATGAAATAACTGCTACTTAATCCTGTCTTGCACAGTCTCTGGAGCTACAACAGTCACTGGTATGGAGGGGGTTCTCAAGACTGCATAGTGAGACCTCAATCCACTCACTGTGCCGGACTGCTGACTGTCGGACGGGGTACCCCAATGCCGCGTGTAGACCTTCTCTCACCTTGTGTACCCGTCGGGTGGCGGGTTTTACTCTTTGGAGGACTTGATTGAGATGTGATGTCGGCTTAGAGAGGTAGACCTTGGGGTGCCTCGAGTTGGTATACTTCACTCGGTAGGCAAGTAGGTGGTCACTCGGTCGACTAAGTCGAGGGTGGACTTATAACCAAGTTCTTTAGGGGAGATTCTCAACCCTGGCCTTTCCTTCCTTTTTCTTGATATCTCAGGGGTGTTAACCGCTTGGCCTTTACTTGCTCCCGAACCAGAAGCGGAGACCACTTCCGATTGCGGGTCGATTGGGGGGGGGGGTGCTACTCCGACGAACCTACAGGTCAAATATATTCTGGGGCTCTATTCACACTTAGGTCTTACCACACGACTGTCTTCGACGGGGGGCCAAAATACATCCCTTCTCGGAACAGGTGGGTAGACATATGTACGTTCCTTGTGAGAACGGCGAAGGCTTGCTACATAGATCGTCACTTAGGTAGTATTTAATATAGTCCTATCTCTTAACCCCTATACTCTATCTTTACCCGAAGACCTGATTCTTGATTACGCTTGGCTAGGATATCTGGAGCTCTGGCCCGAGGTCGATCTCAGGGACCGGAGCCGCGAGTCGATCGACCGAAGGACCAAGGTCTATCGACGAAGAACCGAGGTCCGTCGACCTATTACCAAGGTCGACCTTCAAAGACCAGGGCCAAGGGTTCATAGGCCAAAGATCGAGATCTTCCTTTATGGAAGACCGAGGTCTACCAATGATAGATTAGGGTCGACCTTGAAGGACCGAAGTCCACCTTAAGGAACCGCGGTCCATCAGGCTAACCGTGGTTAGCTCTTTTGAATAGTGGCCAACAGACACACTTTGACCGTAAATTCTTTCCATCCAACGGTTGTTCCCCTTCCCCTTTAGCGCTTTTTCTCCCGGTCTCTTACCCAAAGGTCGGTCCTCCTTGGCAAGTCTCTTCTCTTTGGCCCACTGGTCCTCTGACTTCCCAGTTTTCAAACGCTTCACCACATCACTATCTGCTGCAAGATCAGTATCATTCACTACCTTGGTGCGAAATATTTTGGTACCTGCTAGAATCAGCAGGCTGGTCCATGACTGAGAGTAAACATCGAACTTTTCAGTGTTGGTTTAGACGCAACTTAAAGTATCTGTATAGCTCTGAGCTGTTCCTCAAATTGGTCAAGCCCATCTGCCATCCAGAAAGCTTCTGCCCGAATAGCAAGCCTAGCGAAACCCGTAATAGCTAGTTGGAGACATCTCCTGCCGAATAGCACATAACGTAGCAAGGAAACGCTGACTATAGCCAACCAATGTTGATAACCAAGCATTAGCCGGACCATCTGTCTTATTGCCTGACACTTGCACTTCCGATGACACGTTTGATACACTCTTAAACTTAGTGCGGAAGTTTGGAGGCTGCGACATGTTTCTTTTTAGTCATACTAACTTGTTCAGCAGCATATTAGTCAGCTACTCATTGCTAGCGAATCTCATCGAACTGCAAACGAAGAGTTAGCGTGCACACTTAAGGCTTAAATAAAAGACAGCATTGCCTTAGTACGAGGTTGTAACGGGGCGAGAGCTCCGTTACGTAGCTTACACTAAAGTCTTATGAGGAAGCGTAAGAAGTATGCAATTTACTTGCATACTTAAGACTATTTGATCTCTGTTTATTATTATAAAGGTTGGATCAGAAATTCTAAACCTTGTGAACTTCTCAAATACGTGTCGAATATTAACTGGGTGAAATGGGGTTAAACCTCACTTTCAACCAATCAAATAATGACACTAAAAGATACGCTATTCGCATCTTTCCCTTTTCCTACTTTATGTAATATTGTCAATATTGTCTACCTAATTATGCATAATAATGGGACCGTTATTATTGCCATATCGTACTTGATAAGGCGTGTAACGCCGTTTCAGAGGTAGTTACAGCATTCCTATGTCTAGAGCTTCTAGATGGTAAAGGTAAGTTGAAACCTCCATGGTGCTATTGGGACTTCAAAAGCGAGGTCACCGAGAATGTTTTTTTTACTGTCCGAATAATCTTCCGCCGACCCCTATGAAGGTCGTTTGCGTTAACCCAGACACTGCATCTACAGCAAATATAAGAAGTTTTGCAAGTGGGGTAGCATAGGTGAGTCTTTGGTCGATGTCAGACACTCCATCATTCTCTGTTATTCTCTCGATTCTATAATCGTTGCGCGTGGACAGGTTCGCTGTGATACTGATCGCTTGGCCTAGATTAAGTTTAAGATCCTGTGCCATTTGCACGTATTACAGAGCTAAGTGTCCTAAGAAACTTGCATAAAGAGCTGTCATCTAAGCTGTAGCCGAGATACTGTAGCAACGCCATAAAAAAACTAAGTGCATAGGCCAAGAGCTGCATGTCTTAGGGTTCTTAGGTCTCTTAAGGAAAGATTGTGCCTTTTGGTTGAAAACAACCACGTCTCTAAGAGACCAGTATCAGAGATACACTTCTTTCTTGCAAGGATTGAGGTTTTAGCAAGAAATGCTATACATAGTAGGTTTACAACTGATTTGTTTATATGTTTATCTTTTAGAACTAAATATTGAAGCACCTATTCTATGCTTAGTGCTAGTCACTATTTATCCGGCCCTGTCGCCACCTATATGTAAACGTGTATAGTCATTTACACTGAAACTAAGTACAATGACCACGTGGCTTTATCTCAGCCACGACGTGACCCTTCGTACCTTAGGTACAGTCACATCAACCTGCCACTGAACCCAAGGTACAGCCGGTGTGTCAAGTGTGTATATACAATACACACCTATATGTAAACCCGTTACATTCTACCCACCAATTCGTCGGAGACGGCGTATCCACGATTTTCAAACTTAATGTGAAGTTCTGTCGAATTAGTTCTTCTCACTTTGCTTGCCTCGCAATAAGTGCCTCGGACTTGCGTATAAAGCTTTTGTATTACGACACTCGCTCTTTGAGCATATGTGCTTTGCAATCACGCTTCTAAGCACCCTAGTGTTTCAACACTTGCTACTTTAGTATACAGTGCATTACACTCACGCTGAAGCATTTTTGTGTTACGACACGTTTTGATGAAGGGTTAAGTGTCTATCACTTGGTATGAAACCCTTTAGTACTTGCTTATACCGCATTAATTGCCTAGCACTTGCTTTGAAGCATTACAGTGTTCTGAACACTTGCTTATTAAGCGCTATCCGTATTGCACTGCTCCATCATAGATGAAGCAATGCACCGTGACATCTTTAGAACGATGACATTAATGTTGCCTCTAGGGCAGCGGTGACGAGCTGGCGGGTCATCTTACCCAAGATCACCACGCTCAACAAACGAAAGACTTCGGTACCCTTCGGTGTCCTCTTCCCCAAGCGGAACAATTGCGTTGCGCCTTACACCACCGCTTTCCTCTCGTGAGGGTGATGAAGAGATATCTAATCCTCGTGACGCTGCAAAACTTCGTCAACTCAATGCCGAGACCCGAGCGGCCTCCTAAGCACAAAAGTGCATTTTCACGTCGTGATCATGGATTCGTACCTCAGGACCAATGAGAAAGCTTGACGAGCTGCATCACAATCCTTGCTTACTTATGACAATGGGTCTCAAGCCAGCACTGCTTGCGAGGTTGTGGACCGTGCCGCGCTTTGTAAGCGTATCATTACTTAACAGGAGTTTACAATCATATTGTAATGGGGCAACATATTAAAGTAAGTAGTTGTATGGTTTTATTATATACCGATATAAGTAGGTATATGCAGTATCCGAATAGCGGATACTGCACGTTATTTACTATTGCGCTATTATTGGGGTGCCAGATCCAATAATTAGCCAATAGTAAATCGACCCACATTAATTGGTTCTCACGAGAAGAGAACCCCTTCGTACTTAGTACAAGTTATGAACAAAAATATAAACAGAGTTAATGTTACCTTACTTACACAAGAACAGCGCTTCCTCAAAGCTTAATAGTGTAAGACGGTAGCGGGCTCTAACCCCGCTGCACCGGATAGCATTTATAAGTCCTTGCCATGACCAAGTACAAGATAAGCATGGACAAATCTCCGATCACTACAGCGGTTTCGCTGGGGCATGCTGACCTCCCTCATCTTACCACTGATGAATGGCGGCCTTGCGGCGGTGTCTGGTGAAATCTTCGTAACATCGCTGCTGAGCACAGCGACGCCCGAACAACACCGTGCCGTCATCCAAGACTACATGGTGCGCGAGCTTACCGAAGCGAATCGGCGAGTACACTCCCTCGCGCACCTCCCATCATGATGCGATCAAAATGAAGACGTCCACGTAATCAATTGATGGCTCGGATCGTCTTCCTCCTTATTTCTATTTTCAGGAGATTGATATCGCGATAGCGTCTAGGTTTGATAAACGCTCCGACGGCCAAGGTTAAGTTCCTGCTATCACGGCTTGCCGGCAAATCCAATAATGGGACCTTTGAAAAATTGTCTAGGACGAGTCTGCGGTCCCCACGCTGGACGAGATCGGCGCGATTTGCTACTGGCGTTCGAACCCTCTCAAGATGAGTCACGCTTGCGTGAAGACTTCTTTAGATTTCGACAGGGCAAGCTGTAGATGCGTGACTACGTGCAGAAAAAACGACATCTTGTGTCGTGTATTACCACACAGCCGATCGACATAACCTCACAAGTACATGTCTTTGTCTTCGGTATGCAGGAAAGCATGACGCGTTATTGCCTCACACGTGCTGAACGGAAGATTTGCAAGAACGCAGTTGCCCTTGCGCTTCGTGATGATTATACGGTCGCGTCGTCATACTTGCACGTAACGTCGCAGCGTCCGCGTATGCCTGGCCCAGAGCTTATGGAAATTGCCGCAATTTGATGCATCACGTGGTCGCGACAATCGATTTGGCCGCGACGTTTGTAGTCAAGACACGATGAAGTGTTTTTGATGCGGCAAGACAGGTCATTTTGCGGCCGACTGCCGAGCACCAGCGTCGGTGTCCATGAAATCAGCTGTTCCACGTGAAGATACGTGTCGTCGGTGGTCCCGCCATAGAACGATTGGTTACAGTAGGCGCGGGGTGTCCTAATGGCAGGAAGGAAGTACGGAGTACTCCAGTGGCAGCTTGGACTCCCAGCCACAAATTAATCCATACCCTCTCACTTCAACGCCATCACCACGCTTGGCGACTCGAGACTGATCATCATCAGTCTCATCATTGCTGGACTGAAGCGACCACTTCGAGCGTTGTTGGATTTGAGGGCATTCAACAACGTCTTTCGAGCATCGTGTTTGTCCCTTCTACCGTCTTAGATTACGGTTCGAGAAGGTGCAAGCGACATCGTTGTCTAACTTGCTGATGGATAGCCGCAGCGTGTTCCGCGCAAAACAGTGGTTTTGCCGTGTAGGTTTGACGGTTTTCAAAGCAATAATGCGTTTCTGGTGTACGAGATAAATTACGCATTAGATTGCATCTTGTAGATACCGTGGATGTCACAATATCAGCCGACGATAGATCGGCTATCTCGGTCCGTCTAACGACGAAGTGGATACGACGTGAGTAAAGCGTTCACTCATTTGTTGATTGGGTCATCTGTTTGGCCTCACGTATCGTCGTGGACGAACTCACCACGACTAGAAGTCATCTCAGAAAAAACGATGGCCCTCTGTGTCCGGTATATCCAGTCGCATAGAACCACAAGACGAGGCGGTCGTACAGAGTCTCCCGCATACACAGACATCGTTTGAATAGAGGTTCACGATTCATAACGACGCGGTCAAGCAGGGGCTCCCGCACACTACTACATCAAATGAGCAGAGGCTCCCGGTTGATGACGAGGTGATCGAACAGAGGTTCTTGCGTACACTGACATCGGTCGAACAGTGGTTTCCGTACACTACATCTGAGGCGGTCGACGACGAGCTTCCGCCTTATATTGACGAGAATGCACGGACTGTGGGTCCGTATGTGACCAACATGGTGGTAACTGTGCCTTCACGTCTAGCGGGGAGTATGTCATCCTCCAGCGACAGCAATGTGCCAGCCTCGAGAAACGGCTCGAGACGCAAGAAAGGGGCATGACGATCGCCGAGACGACGATATTCCGTAGTGATGAAGTCCATAGGCGATCTCGATTATGTGAAGGCTCTCCATATCTCGGTCGCCACATTGAGGTAGTGATCCCTCCGTGCACTGCTGCTGCGATCCTATCTCTATCAGCCCTACCATGGAAAGATTTTCTCCATACTCTCAAGGCCGGCAACATCGAGCAAGTGTGCATCGTTATTACCGACGAATCAGTTACAGAAGAAGTTTTGGAGGCTCTCCCTACTGCTGCAGCTTGTAAAGAAGGTGAGCTGGCTCCTGTTTTGCCGCGCGAATCCATTCCTCGGTGCTACTACGCTCAGGCGGAAGGGAAACTTGAGCCGGTGATGTTCAGAATGACGCGTGCTGCTGCCAGAAGAGCCGGAGGGCCGACCATGCGGCTTTAGAGCAGTAGGGGTCCCCCGTCCTCACTGGGTGACACACACCTGTCATGGGCTCCACCTCTTCTGGTGGCGGTTCCAACGTGATAAGCATTATTCGCCAAATCTGTTTATCTTTGTAATAATCACTTGTTAGTGACGGTAGCAGTTGAATTGTAAGCATAAGCATGTAACCATCTTCATCCATGAAGAACGATGGTCACTTTCGATGAAGTTGAGTTTACAAGGATGATAGTATTTACAAACGTTGTTCACTTCATTCATCGTCTACTAAGTCCTATATGAACCAGATCCAATATATTTGACTATATAACTTCACACTTGCACTTCATCGTCAACAAGTGCATACTCTTCCATACCTTCTCCATCCTGATCCAATTGTTCATATCGTCGTTTTGCCTCCTGGTGCGCTAAACACGCAGCAAAAGGACGACGTACACAACTCATAGTATAGCCAGCTAAAGCACCAACTTGTGTATACAACTGGGTCATCCGACTACCTGTTTCAAGTTGCCATGCGGTAATCTCGTCCTTTAGACTTTGCGCACGGTCTTTCTCGCCCGCAGCTCGTGCTACCGAGTCATGGACAGGAATACCACTGCATACCAATCCTGATCCTTTGTCTTTCTTCTCAAGCGACGATGGTAGATCAATTGTAGATGGACGTAACAAATGGGACCCAAAAAGCTTTGAGGCACGACCACTAAACACGACCCGCGACGGAGATTGCAACCCATTTTTCACAGCTTTCAGAGGACTGTCAACCTTTACCAACCTACGGTGGATCGGCTTAAGAACAGTCTCGTGTGAATTCGTATTTAACCTGCACATTGGTAAATATACCACATTCATGTTCTGTTCAGCATCAGAAAGCGGCTGCTGGTTCTTCACTCGCATGGTCGGATCCAACTCCATTGCTAAAACTTGCAACCACATCCGTCCTTGCTCGGCATTGTATACAGAACCAATGGCAGATAGAATTGCGCCGTTTCTGACGCAAAACAGCTCTTTGGCAGAGCACGAAGCCTCAGCATAAGCCGACAGCATATTTTCTGGTAGACTTCCTGTCACTTCTTCCGTCTGGTTACTGTTCGTCGTCTGCGGTCGTGTATCGTCCAACGAAAGCGAGATCTGGTAATACTGTTTCGGATTCATCTTTCCAGGTGGAGGAATTTCCTGGACCATGCATGTGTTGGTCTTGGCGTTCGACTGGATCGCGTAGCCATACCGAACGGGTGTATCAAGACATTCAAACTCATCTTCCTCCTCCTTGGATTCTTCCGCATTGCCGATAGGACTGCTCTTTGTGTTCTTGTCCTTGCCAGTGTCGTCTCCAGCACTACTACTGACACAAGCTGACTTTTCTGAAGGCAGTGCCACTCGAATCCAAATGTTTCCTCGATCGTTGAGAATGCGCTGAGTGGACGAGAACACAAAGCCTGGGTCAAGATGACCAACAATCTCAGCTTGCAGGTCTGCGGTGCGGCGCAAAGGCAGTGGACGACGACTGTACACCGTGCGGTAGAACCGTTCAGCGTCATCATTTGCTGGCACATCACTGATACGGTCGCTTCCCCATGGCACCACCACTCTCTGAGCTGTGTTTGCATTACGCTCAATAATCCATGCGTCTGCGACACAAGTCCCGTTCGTCCGATTGTTCCTCTCCTGATTCTCACATTCTGCTCCAGCTTCTTCTTCTTCTTTGCCACTCGTCTCACTGCTATGCTGCAACTCTTCTGGCTTCTTCAATGGCTGAATACGTATCCACACACGGTCTTTTAGCAACTTGCGCTCAATGGCACGGACGACTCGGAAACTCTCAACATTGTATAACCGTGGTGCTTGAAGACTAGGAATTGCGCGGACGGGCAATTCGCCGGCCCATTTGCCTCCTCCTCCTGCCACATTCTGCATATAGACCGGTCCATGACGAAAACACCCAGTCTCTCTCGGGTCTTCTACTTCAATCAGTGTCTTATGGAACGACGCATTGATCCAGCCACCCAGCCCAGCAAAAGCCGACGTTACCTTAACAATCAATTGCGTAAAGTCCTGATTAAACTTGCATTCTGTAGCTTGAAATACACTCACAGGTGGTAAAAATCGCTGCAAGTGACAAGCTCTTGTTGAACTAGAGTCGGTAGATGACGATGATGAAACTGATGCTGCGTGGAGATTAAACACTGGCTCTTGATACAGCACTAAACGGTCACGCGCACACATGTACGTTGGAAACTCTATCCACAACATTCATAATCATACCATTAGATAAGCATACAATATCTTCATACCCATAGCGTATATTCGTACACGTAACGATGTGTTTTTCTTACGAATACCTACAGCATTTTGAGTTAAAGTGCAATTTTTACCTTTACAGAAGATCTTTGCGTGCATATATTGGCTAACAGAAAGCGATTGAAACTCAATTGACATGTAGGCCACTGATACTTGAGGAAACCGCGCCCTGGATATGGCATCATACACATGTGGCAACCGTCATTCGATACAAGACCAGCAATGCGTTTTGGTGAGCCGTTGCGGATTTGCGTTATATATGTGAAAGATGACATCACTCACGACAAGGTGTAGATCCTTATATAACACAACAACCTGAACAGCAGTGAGTCGGTACTCGTCCATGAAGGCGTCAATGACAACGACATGTGAATCTAGCTCAGGACATATACTACGCGTGCAAGGGCAAGAAGATTTATCTGCTTTGCGATTTCGCGGGCGACAATGCTTTCTTCACCGCACCCATGGAAAAGCTATACCTCTTTCACGGGTTGACAACTCAAAATCAGGCCCTCACTTGACTTCACTTAGGTCAGATATATGCTGTTATCAATGGCATGAAGTCTTTGGCGCTGACAAGCAAAGTTCAAGGGCTAGAACCTGCAGCTGGTCAAGTATGTTATGGACACAGCAAAACAATAGCGAAAACTCGTGCAGTTCGAAACAAAGTCGATGCGTTGTAAAAACCTGCTAGAGCGCAAGTCGAAAGTTGTGACTTCCAGGCCAACTTTGCATGTTTCAGAATCTCATATGTTTGTGTTCTGATCAAAACAAGGTCTCTGGCGGTTTGGACCACGTCTGCATCATCAGTGATGCGAGCATCGCCACGTATACCAACAAATGGCTTGGAGCCGTGTACGAATTATTAACGCCGAACAGAGCGATGTGAGGATATCTTCATATTGCCTAGTCTATCCGGCAACTTTCCTGACAAGTGGTTGTATGATAACTTTCAATCGCTAGCTCCTCTCACCTACACTGACGACGTCAATAATGTCAACTTTTGCGCAGCACAAAACAGCAAATAATAGGGATGTTCACATGGGTCGCCACAGTTGATTCATCGTCTCTCGATGCTTTTTGCTGTGTCCAACGCTGAAGCAGTAGATCGAGTATCATGACAAAGCAATACGCGAACAGGTCTTTATGATTTGGCTAAAGAAGTCTGACAAGCTTAGTAGTGTCAAGTTAGCTGCGTATTTTCAACGTCATATATTCAGTCCAATGGTCTTCATTGGTGCGCCAAAAGATGTGCTTTAGTAATAATAGCAGCTCTTTGCCCTGCGCGCATATATACATCGCAATGTTCATTACTTGATAGAAATCGCTCATTGCCCCTACAAACCCTGACAATAATAGTACCATCGCATCTCGCAAAAAACAGTTGTGACAATGGTGAGTACTCCTACGCGCCTAACACGTTAAATAGGTAATAAATGTCTAGTTGGTGCATTTTACATGTTAGCAGACTGATCTCAAGTCTTTTGTCGTACCCCTGATGAAGCCATTTTGCACAAACACCTTACAGGCAAGTATACCATTTCTATGTAATGATATCTTCGTGCTTATAAGGAGAGATCTTACGCAGTTTGTTACATATGATATAAATGCTGCAACTAAATGTTTCTACTCGATCGGCCGCTGGAGTCATATCATATCCGCTTTTCCAGAGCTCTTCAATGTATTAGTGCTTCGATTTCCTACAGATACAAAACATTTCGATAAAAAACGACATGGACAAATGTCTTCATCACGAGCGGATCGTCGGTCTTAGTTGATGCGTCATTATAATGAATGAAAACGTAATCGTGCAATGAGCATCATAGCTTCACTAGAAACTCAACCTGCGTAAGCAATCGTCGGCATACTCGCAAACATTTCAAGCTATGTGTATACATACATATGTACCTTGTATCTGCGGACGAGTTAGTAGCCGAGCAAAAAAAAGCACATGAGAACGAAGTCTTGATTTGGGCGCAACTTTAGTGGGGTGAATCTAAGTGGAAATGAAACACTCATCGATAGGACGCTGATTGAGCACGGAGGCCAGACGTTGGTCAGCAGTCTAGAAAATGTTAATAAGATGATACGATGATAACTGCTACAAAGATATCTTGTTTTCCAACAGCAGATACATACTAATGACACAAAAACAAGTACAGCATATTACTAACGCGAGTGTTAGTAATATGCTGTACTGGTCAGAAGGTTTTTCTGCTGTCTATGGAATTGCCAGTCGCACAGGACCCGAACGCACAAGAATTACAGAAGCGTTAAGAGTAGCAAGTCCATTATACACCAGATCATGCTCATTAAGGAGCGAAAGAGCATCTGTTGGCAGCAATCAAGCTTATAGCACTGAGTGCTGCAGTCCAAAGAAGAACTTGCAGGGATCATGTGGTACCGATGACACAAAACGTTGACGGCACTACATGGACAATAAGCAGAAAAGATGTGACAGTCATGAATGAGCTTGTCCAAAACGAACGATATTTCTCACCTACAGATCGGCTTAGACGCTAGAGACATCAGCAACAAAGACAGCGAAGACAGATATATACTCAAGAGTGCGACCGTTGTAGCTCCAGCAGTGTATACAAACTGTGACAAGAGCGTGACTTAGAGCAAGTCTTTGATCGCAATGCAGTAGTAGAATGCGTTAAATAAAGCCAAGCAAGTTACATTGATTTCAAGGTATTTGTATGAATCATTGAAACAGCCTGGGCGCACAATATTTGTATTTCATTGGCTGAAAAAAATGGCGGCTAAAGTACAGCGTTTTCCTTGCAAATGCACGTGTGACTTGTTTTAAGTATACTTTGCAGAGTGATTGTCACGTGTCCCCCGAAAAGTAAATCGCGCACTCCATTCCGCACTATTGAGAGCTTCATGATGTTAACTAACGACAAGAACGTGATCATGGTGGCAGAAGGTATTGCTGTAAGTGGCTTAGACGAAGAAGAAAGCGATCAGGATTCGATTGTAGTTGATGGTGAAGAAGAAGACGACGAAATGGAAGAAAGCGACGACATTGAGAGCAAGGATTTTGACCAGGAAGTGGATGCTAGTGACTGCATTGTTTATCAAATTAGAAGCACACTTCGATCAAGCCAAATGTCAAGCCACGAAGCCAGAAAGATAGCAAAGAAACGTAAGGCCAAGTCGGGACGTAGCGAGCGCTGGAATCGCCGTCGAAAGATTGCAAATGTGATGAAAGAAGCAGATTTGGATGAAGGTACACGAAAAGCTCGTGAGGCAGAAGCAAAGCGAGCGCAGCGAATTGATGCAATTTTGGGAAAATTTTCAGCCTTGTCAGACGATCAACTTTTGGTGCCGGATAAGAAGGAAAAGAAAAAGTTATGTCTAAATCCTACAGCAGGTGAAATGCCAACAGGTGAAGAAGGGCACGAAAATGCTCCAATTTATGTGTACAATGATCTTGTCGATAAACTCAAGCCTCACCAGGTTGACGGTGTGAGATTTTTGTGGGCTCATGTTGCAGTGGAACCGGTTGGTTTTGGGTGTGTGCTGGCAGATTTTATGGGTCTGGGTAAGACATTGCAAGTAATAACAACGGCACAGGCGTTTTTGTCGAAGAATACGTTGGATGAGAATGGTCAATTGAAGCAGAGACATAAGCACGTGCTCATCCTTGCCCCGACAATTTGTGTCCGAAATTGGGAAGCTGAGATCGTCAAGTGGCTCGGCAAAAAGGAAGCCCGACGCCTAGGACTATTTACGCTGGAGTCAAGCCGAGAAAAGAAAATGAGTGATCGCGTGTTTGTTGTCAAAAAATGGTATAAGCGCGGTGGAATTTTAATCATGGGCTACGAGCTCTATCGCCTTTTGGTATTGCAGTCTAGCGGTGAGGAAAAGATTGCCGCGGGAAACCAGAAGTACGCACATTTGATAAAACAGGTATACTCATGTTTAAGCAATCCGGGACCCGATCTTATTGTTTTGGATGAAGGCCATCGTGTTCGTAATCACAAGTCAAAAATGGTGAAAGCCTTGGCTCACGTTAAAACAACGCGACGCATTATTTTGACGGGATACCCACTCCAGAATCACTTGGAGGAATACTGGACAATGGTAAATTTTGCTCGACCGGACTATCTTGGTTCCTTGGATGAATTTAAAAACCGATATGTAGCCCCAATCACAAACGGACAATGCATTGATAGCTCCGAAGCTGATTTGCGTCTGGCCCGGCACCGCGCCTTTGTTTTAACGCGCGAGCTGAGGCCTTTGGTACTGCGTCGTGATCAACAATATCTTTTTAAACAGCTACCACCTAAGAAGGAATATGTGTTGATGTGCAAATTAACTGACGCACAAGCACAGTTGTACCGTGAATTTCTAAAACATGGTGTTCCAACTCGTGGTGACTCAGATCAGGTGGACGTCCTTGGTGGCTACCATATTGCACTAGCTATCTCGAACCACCCCGACGTCATATGTGAAACGTACAAGAAGCTTGAGAAAGAGGAGCATAACGGAGCTTGTCGGAAATCAAAACGTCATGGCGTCTTGGACATTTTTGGGATTGAAGATGGCGGAAACGATTTTGATCCATACAATAGTGGCCCGAGTCACGTTGCTACCAGGTCCAGTACATCTGAAACTTTTTTACTAGCGAAGTCGCACGGTCTGCGCGACATCGACGCCGACATTAATGCCAATGAAGTTGAAGACGGTGAGTCCGCGCTTCCTATTACGGTAAAGTTGGGTAGCACGGCTGTGCCAAAGCCCAAGCGGACACCTGCTGCGAGATGTCATCGTTTGAAATTTGCTCGGCATTTTATGGAAGATTATGTCCCGAATCAGCTTGAATCGAGTGGCAAGATGATGATTCTTATGGAACTTTTGTCAGTGTGTCAGAGCGTCGGCGACCGTGTGATCATATTTTCGCAGAGCATTCCTACACTGGATTCTATTGGAGCAGCAATTTCTAAGCACAACAGGCATCAACGCCGCCACGCAAAACGCTTTAGTTTTTTGCGTATTGACGGAAGTACGACCCAGTCAGACAGATTTCGTCAAATCGCTCAGTTTAACGACCTTGCAGAGGACGTTGATCTAATAATGATATCGACGAAAGCAGGCGGCGAAGGAATCAACCTTTGCGCTGGCAACCGAGTTATCATTTTTGATGTGTGCTGGAACCCATGCAACGATGCCCAGTCTATGTGCCGATCATACCGTTTCGGTCAGACAAAACCCGTGTTTGTATATCGGTTTGTGACGGTGGGGACGATGGAAAAGAAGGTATACGACTTGCAAATTCGTAAAGAAGGCGTTGCTAAACGTATAGTGGATGAGAAGACGACCGAGAGAAAGTTCATGTCATCTGAGCTGCAAAAGTATTTTAGCATTGAGGACTTTGAAGATTCTTTGTTGTATGCGCAAGGCAAGGCAGCAGACGATGAAGAAGCGACTATTCAAGCAATACCCCATGAAGATTCTGTGCTTATGAATATTTTGACAGAAATGAGGGACAGAGCTACGAATGCCGGTTGCACCAATGAAAATGGAGAATTTAGTGCTGCTGGAGTGTTGGCTAACAAGAGATGTATTATTGATTGCTTTGAGCAAGAAACGATGTTTGAAGAAGATTTGGACCAACAGTGTACACCAGCTGAGCAGAAGGAAATTTTGGAGAGCTATACTTACTACAAAGCGGTGCGGACACTGCGTAGTGGAGGAACTCACCTCATCAGCCGTGAGGGTGTGCTGATGAAGAATTGTGACTCTTGTCGAGCACCAAACGAAATTTACCCGACATCCATTACTAACGTTCCCGTGCCCTCAATAATTGAATGCATTTATTGCAAGCACTCTATGGCAACTGTTGGTGCAGTCCCTCTGTCGCAAATTCCTGTCGTTGCGCATTCGTTTATGGGACGTATTTCTTGGGTCCCGACTATTGCACAAGGGAATCAATTGTCTACAACAGCGCCTTTATCTGCTGCAGCCACGTTGTCCCTTCCATTCGCACCAACTGCTATTGGTGCTGCTCCGAGTGTAAGCGCTCAGACTGGTGGTCGCATTTTGCCTCCTCACATGCAGGTTCTGTTTGATCAGCAAAAGGCAGGAAACAAGATTACGGAGGAACAACGGGCTCAGCTTTTTCATCATCAAAGGGCGGAGGAGAACCGACTACTGTTTGAGTGCAATCAAGATAAGATTGCGGCAGCGGTGCGAAAGCAGGAGCGAGCAACGATGAGACTTAGAGACAGGCATCTACTTATCCTTCGGCGAGGCATAAAGGGATGTCAAGATCTTAAGCGGAAGGCTAAGGAGTGTGGTGCTTCCTTGGCGATCGAGGTCAATTCACAACTGACGGATATTGTAAGTGCGATGAGCCCAGCAGAAACACTTAAGTGGCTAAAGCTGAGCAAGCTTCCTGGAGATGTAGAACTTCACGATGACACGTGGCTGCGGAATGAAATTGCTAAAGAGCAAGGTTTGTCACTCATTGCAGCAGAGCCTAGCTCGAATCTGAGCTCAAAACAACAAATAGCTAAAACAGCTGCACCTGCTGTTGACTCCCGGGCCGCAATCGCTACATCTTCCGCTTCTGATTTTACACCGGCTTATGACCGAAGTCCACAGACAACGCCAGACAGCAGCAGTGAATACATCGAACTTTTGGATTCGGATGATGAGGGCGTTCCGATGGTAAGTGCCAGCAACGGAACAGTGTCAAGTGGCAGTAGTAGTGCCGACAAGGGTACCGTTGATAATGCAACCGATGTCATCGAGATTTTATAGGTACAAGACCAACAACGAGGCGATATACGTCGAAATCATTGCTTCGTATCGATGTTTGATTTCCTACGTTGTATTGCGCGGTACAGTGTAAGTAGGCAGGGCATGTGGTGGTTTTACCATGGGCATATGAATTGAATGGAGTTTGTGGACATGCGGAGTTACTACGCGACAGGCACACGAGATGATTTTGACAACTATTCAAACTATGATTTATTGATATCATAATTATACTCTCAATTATTAGATATTATAATTATACTCCCAATTATTAGTTTATTAAAAGCTTATCATAATTTCGTATGACAGCAAACGTCTTACTGGACATTTTCACGCCGAAAAAATCAGAATATAAGATGATGTTGCTTGCTTCCAGCAAATGTTCCTAAGAGTCGATTGCATGTTTCTCCTTTTCACATTCGAAACGTTATTCGTCCACAACCAATCTGCAAAAAACATTCATTCAACGTTGATCCGCGTTTGTTACTTTTCAAAGCTTTCCGGTAGACAATAAACCCATTGCTTATTTGACATGTTGCTGCAGTCTAACGAGCGACATTAATATTAGATGACCCAATACTAATGATTTCGAATAGATCGGTCTTAATCGATTTGATGTCGTATCTATCAGAATTAAATTTTGAGACTGGTCATTTATCGATGTTTTGTACCATACCCGGATCTAAATACTATAAAGAATTGACGCGTAAAGTTCTGGTGTACGCTTGCGTGATGCAATTGGCTGAATTCAAGTGAAAAAGTCCACGACGTCCCTTTTGCTGTACCTGAGCCCGGCTACATCGGATTATGAGTGCACTTTTATGAGCTGTAGGCGTCCGCTGTGGATGTAAGTGGGCTTCGCATTATCTCACACTACTCACACCATCAGCCCCGCGAATCTCGTGCAAGTTGTTTGCGAATCTGAACAAACCAGATGAGCAATACACTGTGCTTGGGAAGTGCTGCCATCTAGTTACTCCAGCTTTGTTGGTTCAGGTGAAACATTTTAGAAGTGGATCCAACAACGTGCAGCGTATTCAGTTAGTAATTTTATATTTCGTGCACTGATACACGCACTACGGGTCGTCGTGAGGCTTGCACCGGATGGATGGTGTTGGTATTTCAGAAAGACGAATGTCCCGGCGCAGCACGAACGTTGTTTATGCTCTATTCGTAGACACTGCAAGGACACTTTTCCTCGGCTTGATTGTATAAAAACACCGTACTTGTAGCTGCAAGCGTCATGACTCCATATTCATATGCCGCAGGTTTCGGTGGTATGTATGGCACACGACGCAATAGTGGATGGAGATCAAGGTCAGTTCTGCACTTCTGACTCGTCGCACGCAAAATAAATCTTACTCTAAAGCTTTGGCCTTAGCCACATGTGAGCATATTTTGCTGCTCCTGAGAACAACATGTCAACGTTTTTTGCGCTGAAGTCTCCATTTCAGCAGCTGTGGTATGGCACCATCTGCATTGAAATGGACCCGCTATCTCAGCTGTGGACGGAGCGCGACGTCACGCGCCCCATCCCACTTTGTCCGGTGCGTAAGTGAGCGTCACGCGGGGCTCGAACCAATCCCCGACGACTACTAGTAGCAGCAGGAAGGCTTCGTGGTAAAGTTAGTCATTTTTCAATTGAATACGCTCCCTGCGCTCGAGCGAAATCCCTATCATTGTAACACGATAGCTTTACTGCTGTGCCGATGTTTCGTGAGGATGAAAACAAGACGGCGCTTGCCTTTATCTTGAACCCCTCGTCACTACACACGTCCTTACACGGCAGAAACAGCGCTTGTGTGTCCCATACCATATCCCCACTTTACAAGACAAAGTTGGGCATAGCTGACTTACATACCACCAATGACAACGACTTTGACGTGAACAAGGTTGAAACCCGCCTCATCGAGTTACGTGCTAGTAGTTGTAGTCTGCTTTCAGGCAACGTCGTAGTGAGCAAGCGCATGGAGCACCTGCTGTTTGTCGGTAACCAACATCACGGCAAGATGCGCGTGCGCAAGTCCTCCATCTGCTCACAAAACGATTGCCTCCGTGCCGCTGTCTCGAGAGGACGATGTGTGCGTCACGGTGGTGGTTCTCGCTGCACGTATCCGAACTGCACGCATGGTGCGCGGCTGAACAACCGCTGCTTCCATCACGGTGGCTGCAAACTCTGCAAGATCACGGGCTGCACTAGTAAGGCCAAGCGTTACGGCTACTGCTGGTCACACGGCGGTGGCCACATCTGCGACGCCCCTGGCTGCTCCAAGGTCGCAGCACCTGGTGGCTTTTGTTGGGCTCATGGCGGTGGTAACCGCTGCAAGGTGGATGGCTGCAATCGCCGCTCATATCAAAAGCACAACTACTTGTGTAAACACCACAACGCTTTACAAGTAGAAAAAGCTTTGTGAACAGAGGTGGAGAATAGTATGACAAGATTGTCTGTAATGAGAGTGGCATGGACATTTGGAGCTTGTAAGTTGTAAAGGCAATAAATTATTTACGATGATAGTAATGGTCTCCACGTTTAGTAGATAAAATAACCAGCTTTGGTTATCTTGGTACTTCAACACCGTTCATCATCGCACATTTGGGACTTCAAATCATGTTACTAGACAGAGTAATTGTCTGAGTTTTAATCAGGTCAAATTGTGTTCCTGGTTTGGTTGGGGTAGCGTCCTCCCAGAAGGCTTGGGCTAGTTGATGCTAGCTCAGGCCTCCGACGGGTGCTTCGTGGCATCCGTCATTTTGGACGGGTTTTCTCTCTCTTTACACACCTCTCTCTTGTCACTCTCCCCCCAGCCGCCAGCCAAGCCGCCACGATGTACGCCGCCACGCCGGCTGACCAATATATCATTGATAAATGCACAAACATTGTTCTACTCAAGCACTGGCACTTGCAGAACAATCATCAGGTCTGGGCACGCATCAGGAGTGAAATATAACAATGCTGAACATGTTTGAAGCGGGTGAGCTGTAGCTACGACAACATTGTTTACCTACTATTACTACCGCAATATGCAACAGCCAGAAGTATGATGGTCGAAGATAAGAAGACAATGAATTCATCCATTCATCTCAGATAAATACTACGGAACCTCTTCACTTAGTGGAGGACATGGACTTACATCCCGCACACTACCGCATCCAAGTTGCAGGCACTAACCGATGGCTGTCATACAACGTTCTGTCGCCGCACCCCAAGCGAAACCAAACGGTCATTAACTGTACACACCCATCTCGCCCTTTTTCACTATATCATGATCCACACAGTAGTAGCCGTACTTTTGATACGATCGGCGGCTGCATCCCTCCAGCTTGCACCAATTACCACCACCATGTGCCCAGCACAGACCTCCCTGTGCCGACACTTTCTCGCACCTGTAAATCTCACAAATACGTCCACCGCCATGTGACCAGCAATGTCCGTACCGCTTTGCTTTTCGTGGACAGCCGTTGGTCGCGCAGAGCTTGAAGCCGCCATGCTGGAAACACTTGTTGTGCATCTTGGCACGGTTTGTGCACCCTACTATTGTGCATCGCGAGCCTCCACCGTGACGCACGCAAGAGCCACGAGACACTTATCATGTTCGTGCAGCCTTCATCTTGACATGGCAGCGTGCGCCTCATTCTTTTTTTCTTCTTCTGAATTTTTGCCTTAAACTTTGCAGCGAAAACCGTTTGCGCTGCTTGAACAACCTCTTTCTCATTTGCAGCTGCTGATGTAGTTGTTGTTTCTAGTGCTTCCTCTTCTTTGTCACTTGATTGAGAGTCACCTGCTGTTTGTCCCACATAGTACAGTCAGTGACGATACTGATACAGCTCTTTTTGCTGCTTTTCTTTTCCAGTGACGTGATACATGAGCTTAGGAGTAATAAGGCACAGCATGTTGAAGTCGATGTCATGTCCGTCAGATGCAATAAAACATTCATCGACAGTGGTCGTTGGTCTTCCGTCACAATCTGTGGGTTTAACAAGAATGACAGATGTGATTTTCTGTCCATTGTTGTGTAATGAATAGTAAAAATCACTTGGAGGAGTGACGGTAGCAATTGAATAGCAAGCATAAGCATGTAACCATCTTTATCCATGAAGAATGATGGTCACTTTGGATGAAGTTGCCTTTTTTGAGTTCCAATAATCAAAGCGCGTGGCATACTACTTGCTGATTGGCTGAATATATAAGCGCGTGCCGTCCTGCTTTTGACGTAGAATCAGTGCCACGCAACTGGCCAATACCAACAAATGATTAAAAGATGATTAGTAGATAATGAGCAATCATGAATTCAAAAAGTAGCCAAAATGTCCCTGTTTGATATTTTTGGACTTGCTAATGGCGAAAAAAGGATGAAAGTATTTACAAACGTTATTTGCTTCACTCATCGAGTATTTATAATCATATGGTGCTGTCGTGGTTCATGATACATGTTTGAAATGAGAACGTCGGTGCAGCTTTGCCTACCGGTCAGCTGGAGTGACAATAAATCTTACATGGACAAATGGGGATAATAATGAGTTTTCAGCTTTTTAGCTTAGGTGCATGAAATTGGCCGGTGAGCATAACTTTACCGACCTGAGGAGGTACTTTGGGCTTTCACGCAATTGGTAATGGCGGTCAGCGCAGAGCAAACCTGGAATCGTTTACTGGACGGCTTGACGACTTCCATGTGGCACATGTTTCGCGAGCTTCTTGTCACTCATGACTCACACGTAATAGCAGCAATCGCACCTATCTATCCATTGTCACTGTGTTTATATCCGGCCTACTGTTAACGTATCGGTTGTAGTAGAGGTCCATATCACAGCACGCAACGACATTTGTAGCTATATGACGATCGGTTCATGATCGTCATGCTGCCAGGCTACCACCCGTTTGGCTTCTGCTGGAATATGAGCCTTTTCGGCTGGTAATGAGGCTGCGTATTTGATAGCAATGCAGTGTGGCACATTGACTGTCGACAAATATAGTTCCCGTGCATTGATACAGTGGGAGGGTGACGTGCTGACCAAATTGAACCAGAGAAAGACATTCTGCTGGCGCGGACATGTGCTGCCATTGTCGCATCCCTACGATTGCTCAGGATACTCCATAGGCGCCGCCATACGTCGACGTATGCGCCCGTCTCATCGGGGTAAGCCCGGTTGAGCTGGTCGCGGACCACTGCGGATAGCGTTGGTGCTCGTAAGCTTGCACTATTGGCTAGGAAGCCCTAAAGAAGTCCCAGCTTCCATCGTTTTCTAGTCCAGTGGCAGATGAGCTACTTGAAGCGGCTCCCCGGTTTCCAACATTGGAGCGCTGAGAAAAATCGCGATGCCCCTCCAAGCCGCTTCGAGGTGGGCAGCTTCCTCAGCATTGCTGACACGCGTCTTTTGCACCTGTCAGGCCAGTGGCCGTTTAGCCAACGGTGGCCGACGACACGCCTCCAGCCAACGCATGCGTGACGTCCCGAAGATTCTGTAATTCGACCCGTCTGTGACCTGTGCCACCTCTCCTGGACGGCGTCAAGCTTTCGGCGAGGTACGCTAGCCACAGATGGGAGTGACGCTCGTATGCGTCCGATTGTTGTCAATCCGTCTAATCGGAGTGCCTCGGCCTGGTTTGTGTGACTGCCCTTAGTACTGACATAGTCGCGCCTCTCCGCCGTGCTCCAGAGCGTCCGCGAAGAAGCGCGCTACTACCAGCCAATCCACAGTAGAATGCGCTATCGAATAAGCCGCCCGATGTGTGGGGCTAAGTTGTAGTGCCTTGAGGTGCCGCTGAAGGCAAGCACACACACTGCTGACATCACTGCTCTCCTGGCCTGTAAGTGCTTGGATTTCCGTCGCGTAGATCTCTCTGCAGAGGAGATGCTCAACCAGTCGTAGCCTGTTGGAGATCTCACAGTGTTTTAAAATTTAATCATTCCCGTTACCAGAAGTGCGAATCCGTTGCCACTCATCACAATTATCCGCCGATAAAGTGTCGTAACGGGGAGAATTTGGTAACCCAACCGGCCAACCACGTGCGCACCGGTTTGTCGAGAGCCTGCCGCGGTAAGCCGCTAATGTTGCTAGTAGAACTTTCCGTCGCGAAGTGGCCATCCATGCTTCGAGCACCTGCGGACTTTATACCCTGAGAACTTCCTCTGCGTATGGAAAGAGCGCCGAGCCCAAATAACCACGCGAAGAACGTTTCGAAATACATTCGTGGGAAGCCCTTCGTGCTTCGGGTAACCCTGCCTACGATATTGCTCGCGAGTATGTCAATATCTTTCCGGAGACAATTCCCGCTGAGCTTCCAAATGATCGTGGAGTGCGGCACAACATTGACCTTGTGCCTGGATTGAAGTATTCCGTAACGCGATAGTGGCCGTTACTTCGTGATCAAGTCATCGCAATTAATGATATTTTTGAGGGGGCCGCCGTAAAGCAGGCCATTTTCGCGAGAGCGTCTCTCCACATTCGAGCTCTACTTTGTGTGTGAAGAAAGCCACCGGAGGTTGGCCCATTACGCATGCTTTCAACAAGTTAAATGAAGCTACTATCCCGAGTCAAACGCCAATTCCACGCCAAGACATGGTATTGGATGCCACGTCCGGTAGTGAGATTTTCAGTGCCATCGACCTGACAGACGGGTTTTACCAGATCACTAATGAAAGACGTTGATATTCCACTCACTGCGATAAGCACCCCGAGTGGGATTCTATGGGAGTGGCTAGTCGTGCCACAAGGCGTTAAGAACGCCCCAGCTATGTTCAACCGGATGGTGACACAACTATTCTGCCCACTACGCGATTTTTCACCAAGCTCCTTCGACGACATTTTTGTACACAGCCGCACTGAGCAACAGCTTAGCGCCACGGAGGTTCACATTCAACACTTGAAACAGGTGTTTTAAGAGATGCGTGAGAGCAAATTATATGCCTATTTGAAGAATTGTGCCTTCTGTGCTCCCGATAATTCAGTACTCGGCTGTTACTTCAGCAAGGAAGGTGTCCATGCTGAACCCGAGAAAGTGTCATCGATATGTTCATGGCCTACGCCCAGGATCCAAGCTGGATTACGACAATGAATCGACCTGGATAATTACTTACATAATTATATGAAGAATTATGCCGAGTTAATTCAATCATTATCGACATTGCTGAAGAAAGACGCAGTTTCGTCATGGTGGGCAGAACATTAATCTACCTTCGACTTCGTAAAGAAGGAATTTTCTGAGGCACCGGTGCTCATGTCACCTGATGCTTCCAAGCCATTTCACGTTGTTTTTGATGCGAGCAACTTTGCGATTGGATGTGCCCTCATGCAATGTGATGACGAGGGTCGAGAGAGCGTCGTAAGTTTTCACTCGCAGCAGATGGAACCTGCCGAGCGAAACTATCCGGCACAGGATAAAGAACGTTTGGCTGTGCGTTATGCGCTGATCAAGTTCAGGGTACATTTACTGGGGGAGAAGGTGTTATTTTTCCAGTATATACAGATCACGCATCACTGCGTACCGCCGTCAATATCCCTCACTTGTCTCAGCGTATGGCTTGTTGGTTGTCCTTCTTCTTCGAGACTAACTTCCTAATGTTTTACAAGCCCGGCAAAAATAACATTCTTGCTGACGCGCTTTCTCGGCGTCCCGATTACGATCCTTGACGCAACTCGGGTCGTCAGCCAGGTAGTGATAATGACGAAAATAATGACATTTGTTTGTGCTGTATGAGATGGGTCTTTAAGCTATGGTAAATTCCTACCTAAGCGCGTGCAGGCTCGTTCTGCTGGAGCCTTCGGACGTGGCAGTCTCGAGTTGACGAAGTCGCTCCACCAATCCCTGCTAATCCCGTCGAGTCCTCTCGGCAGCCTCCGTTGCAGCCGCCGCACAATCTTGGGCACTCTCGGCCATCTCACGAGCATCCAGTAGGCCATTCTTCTCTTCTTCAGAATCAGCACGAAGAATCCGCAGCTTTTCGTTCGACGGCACAGGCGTATGATTATGTGTATCGGCGCTCACCACAAGAGGCTTTCCTTTGTGACACTTCTCCTCCCTTGGTGGATGCATCATGTGTGCAACGCTGGAGTGTGGACCGTATCGTCGGTCATGAACGTCCCTCCCGCCATACTACGAGTAGCGACTCGGTGCCATCGAAAAGTCGAGCTGAGACACACTCAAGGTCCGTTAGTCGGGTTACTCACCAACGGACGACACGTAGTAGCCGCGAAGTACATTGCCACGCGATGTTCCTGAAGTTGTCTAGGAGTATGAATCCACTAAGAGGGAGGTGACCACGACCGACGCTGTGGACTACGCCACCATCTTGCGCGCCGTGATGATCGCGAGCTGGTGACCGACGACGATCCCCCGAGCGACTTCGAGGTTTACAATGGGGCTCGGGAGCACTTGGATACCATAAAGGCAGAGAACGACTGCGTAAATGACCACGAAGGTCATACATTAACCGGTCGCGATTGTGTAAACGTCTCCGTTGTTCGACAAGGCGCTCTTTTACGTGACGCAGCGTGGATACTTGGAGCTCTA